CGATTGTCATTTGCTTTTAATATTTAACAAAATATTAAAAACAATAGACAATCGTAAAAATATCTTATTCAATATTTTGTTACACCGGTAGTTATATCGACATTTTAATAAATATATATAATTACAATTTATTTAAGGGGTCTTCCTATGTGACGGCCTGTTTTTTAGGGATATTTTAGGATTTTTTTTCTACGACCAGTAAATATTTAGAGCTTCAAGTTTTTTATCATTTATTAACACATATTTGGACAGTATAAATATAAAATTTCGAATCTTAATTTCTAATTTAATTTGCGAATCTTACGCTGATTCGCTTTTCATCCCGTTTCTCAACATACGCTTGGGCTTCACGACCAACAGGGCATCCCATAATCGACATAACTTTTAAAATACCTTGAAAACCTTCATTAAAGATAATAACTGCTAAGTAGCTAGCAATTTCAACAACTTTGGGACCAGAATGAAGATGTTTAGGAGCGAAAGTCCAAATCAAAGAATTCAAAGATTCGTTATTGTTTTGTGTCTCTGCTCCTAAACAACGAATTAATAATTCGTCTTTCGATAAATCTTCGAAAACCGGTTTGATAGCTTCTTGGACTTGCGGAATTAGAGGTGGTTTATCGTGATGAAATTGGTCCAGTTCATTATTAGCTTCAGCCTTACGCCATTTACACCAACTGTCTTCGCCTTCTGGACAAAATTGATGCTGAGGGTTTTCATCAGAAGAACATTTGTGATAGTACGTTGCCCAAACTTCCTTTCTCATATCTTCAAGCGAATCTGGATGGCGTCGAATTGCTAATCCGTAGAATTTTGTAAAATATTATAACAATAGAAATTTCTGTTTAAGTCTGTAGAAACGTGTCTAAACTTGTATAAACAAATATATTAATAAAAGGGAGGCCAGGTATAAAGCCGACGGTACACAATAGGCCCGGTCTCTAACTGCCAACTCACCGCTCCGAACCGCTCTTTCTTTTACCTGCTGTATCTTTAAAACGACTTCGAATTTTCTAAAATCGCTTTACTACCGTATTCTAGACATGTTAAGGGAGCAATTTATGAAAAAAAAAAAATCGATTTTTTCAACCCATCACATAGGAAGACCCCCTTAACAGATTTGGTGTTTTTATAATTATTTACAACGAATATATCCACGCTCGTTGTGATTCACACAACAATTACTTGACATTTATCATTATATGTCCAATTTACATAATATCTTTTAAATTATAGCCTATTTGTTTTTTATTTATTTAACTTCAATGCACTCAATACAAAATAGTAAAGTACATTTGGCGGTCTTAACACCATGCGGCATTATCTACCCGTCACCCATAGGTGGTCTTTAATAGACCTACATGAATAAAGATATTTTTAATTTGGAAGGTACATGATAGCATGGTGTTTTGGATTACAAGACTGTGCTCTGGTGGGTGGAAGTGATTGCCGAAACCTATTCATGTTCATGGAGTTTCTTTATAACAACATTTACAGCCCACATGCGTATTAAGGTCATTTTACTTCGCCATAATCCGCAGTATGGTCGTTAAAAGTTCACAATAAATAAATGCTTTTGTAATAGTTCAAGTAGTTTAGTGGAACGCATTTTCACGTAGATGTAGCTGCTTGCGTCAAAATGAAAAATTATATTCAGGATGGTACACCGCCTCATTTCCAATGAAATTAAATTAGGACGGTAGGGAAAATAATATTGTGTAAAAAATATGACGTTCATAAGCGGCTAAAATGTCCTACATGAATAAATGATTTTTGAACTTGAATGGTTATGGGTTCGAATTATGCTATTGTATTCACGAGTCCCTTGTATCGGTAGGGCTGTTTTCTGTGTATAATGTGTGTATTAAAAAATATTTTTATCAGTTGTCTAGTAGTAACCCAGAATACAAGCTCTGCTTAGTTTGAGACAAAATGGCGCTGTGTAAATTGTAATATTATTTCTTTTATATGTCTTCCTTTGTTGGCGGATAAACTTGTCATCGCGGTGAAAATCACCAAACAATGACAACTATAAAAGAAATTATTATGATGACAAAAAATTGCGGACTATTCTACATGTGTTTAGAATATGAAGTTGTAATATCTTAAGGTTAGTGTGTAGGGATGTTGGAATGACACTCGTGGACGAGATAATAATTGGAAGAGTTTTCACTGTTTCTACCTGCCATTGTATTTTTAGTTCTATTGCCAAATCAGTATACTTCATAATTTTTTCTGTATGTGTTGATAGAAGATTATATGTGTTTGTTATTGCAATGTCTGTATATAATAATAATAATAATAATCTCAGGACAATTCACACAGAGCCATCTAGACCCAAGTTAAGCTAGCTAGAGCTTGTGTTATGGGTACTAGATAACTGATACATATACATAGATATATTTTTTTGTAAATACATACATATTATACATAGAAAACACCCAGACCGATACAAACAATCATACTCATAAATACAAATGTTTGTGCCGTGCGAGGAATCGAACCCGCGACCATCGGTCGTAAAGCGGTGTGCTTCATAGGTCGTATATTTATTAATATTATTTTGTATTCATACATTATTATTATTAAATACTGATGCTTTTGTAACAGTACAAGTAGTTTAGTGGATCATATAGTTTTCATATAGGTTGTGATACTAGTTAAAGAAAAGCGTTTATTTGTATGCACACTATGGTTTCGGTGGTCGGTTTCGTAGATGGCTTTACTACCGATGGTCGCGGTTTTGATTCCTCGCACAAATGAATATTTTTATTCATGAGTGTGATATAACTATATCACAAGCAAACATAAATAGTACCCATGGTAACTACCTTGGGTACTTTTTATACTTGCTGCTATATATATATATATACCCTTTCCGACTACCTCTGGTAAATCTAAAGTTTTCCGCGATAAATTCGCTATCCAACACTAAAATAATTTATGAAATGACAAATTATTTTAGTGTTGTGTGTTGGCCAGAAGTTCCTACAATTAGCGTTCAATCTCATATATATTCTTCAGCTAATATAGTATACATATATTAAACATGTTTGGGTTTCACAAAGGTTTATATTAACTACACAAAGGTAACGCAATCACGTCATCACTGATATTAATTGATTGTTACAATCAGGGATGCCAACCGTAAAAAAATGATCGTACATTCGAGATTTTGGTCTTTACTACGAAGACATTTTCATCCCCAGACAAGTTTGTTATATTACGGCTAGTGATTAAATTATTTTATGTTTATAAAAATGCAATAGCATGCTGTTGGTCAGTACATTCTCTCTAATCGAAACATATGCTATGTTTTTGTAATCATGTACGTTTTATTTGAAAAGAATAAGAGGTGAGTTTCTTGCTAGTTCTTCTTAGCTCGAAAGCACTCCTGATAGTACTGTAACTGATAGTACTGTTGACTTATAAGAGTCTGTAATAGACCTACATGAATAAAGATATTTTGATTTCATTTGATGACAACCTCGATGGTCTAGCGGATTAGCTTTACTTCAGATTTTTCAAATTCAAATTCAAAAATCATTTATACATGTAGGACATTTTAGCCGCTTATGACGTCAAATTTTTTATAAAAATTATAATGTTTCCTTACCTATTTGGTTTCTCGCATAGTACAAACATTTGTATTCATGAGTATGATTCTTCGTATCGGTCTGGGCGTTTTCTATCTATATTTCTATGTGGATATTTACAAAAAAAACTAAATATTTATATCACAAGCTCTGCTTTAACACACAACGCCATCTAGTCCCATGGTGCAGTGTGTATTGTCCAGGATATTACTATTATTTGACTTAAGACAGACAAAATGCAAGTTGTACGAGGTTAGGAAGCCAGATTGAGCTGAACAAAATCTTAGGAGAATTTTTATTTCTTCTGAAGATTTTAAGTGTTTCAATGTTGGCAGCCCTGGTTTCAATTTAGGAGCGAAAACTAAGTGAAGTGTCAATCATGGTTTTATGGGTGGGCGTGGAAAACGGCGTAGGACGTATGGTGTGACGCCTTTTACTTAGCGAGCATTCTTTTGATCTCCAAATTCAATAGACCTTGGTCCTGTCGCCTGCCTTTAAGGCGACATGTCCTTACCCCTTTCCATACAAGAGTGCTACTATGAAAATTGACAAAAATAACTAAACTAAACTTGATGAGATTTTGTCCTAAGATTAAGGCAATTAATATCAACCATTCATACTATATTTCGAAATAGTATCAATCAATTGAATTATTTAGAATTAAAATAAAATGTTGATAATTAATGAAATATTGACATTCTATTATAATGTTTTTAAAGTAAGAAGTAATGGTTTAAAGTAATAAGTATTTGAGTAAGAATTTATAATGACTTGATTGATTAAATATTTGTACGCTGGAAACAGCAGAATATGATGAAACATATATTATATATACTTACCACCATTGTACATACCATATTCTGACAAATAAATATATTATTTATTATTATTATTATAGTCAGATATTCTTTAGTTCTAAAATTACATAATTATAAATATATTTATTTTTAGAAATAAATACATAGAAAACACACACACAGATTAATACAAATGACTGAATACAAATGTTTGTACCATACGAGGAATCGAACCCACGATCATCGGAAGTAAGATCACCGAGATCGTCGTATATACAAACGGATAAAATTAAAGTGTCTGTTTATAAATTCAAATTAACAGGTTTTCAAAGGCAAGGCAATATGTACATGTGCATATGCATATATACGGTACTTATATAAAAAAAATATCCATTTGTTCTTGCTAAACTCTGAAACGGCTGGACCGTAATTGATGGGACTTTTACTCCCAATTAGCTAATGTTATAAGAAATAATTTAGGCTACATATATTTTATAAATTTCACTTATTTTATTTTGAAAAAAGTTTTATGAAGTGGCGAATAACAAACAGCGAGTATAAAATATGTAAGGGACGATATTCATGAAAATTATTTGTTTATTTTCAGCGAACAGTCAATAAGCAGCGCGCGCGCCTCCGTGATGGTGTACGACGACGGGCTGAAGCGGTGGGTCCCGTCGGGGTCCAGCTCGGGGCTCTCCAAGGTCCACATATACCATCACACCCAGCACAACACCTTCCGGGTAGTCGGCAGGAAACTCAACGACCACGAGGTGAGAGCATATCTTTCTTTATATAAAAAAAAGACGTGTCACGTTGTTTGTCCGCGATGGACTCCTAAACTACTGAACCGATTGCAAATTTTATTTGCACATTGTGTGCAATTTGATCCAACTTGAAAGATAGGATAGCTTACATCTCAATTTATAGTCGCAATATTGTTTTATTCAAGAACCTTAGTCACAGCAACGCGTGGCCGGATCTGGTGGTCCGCATATATGAAGTGATTATTTTTTTTATATATTTTATTAAATTATAGTCAGTATTTTTTATTGAATGATAATAGAATGTTGCACCCGCCTGCACTGTGAGTATACGCTGGCGGGGCACCAGTGGAGGACGATGAGTATGAGGTCAGGTCAGTTAGCCCATCGTGACAAATTCACCAGGAATTTACTTTAACTAGCTTTTGCCCGCGGCTTTGCTCGCGTTAATTTATACCCTTACGGGTGGAATTTATTAAAATCCTTTGATGCCTACGGCATAGTAGATTTATGCATGCAAAGTTTCAGCCCGATCGGTCTAAAATTGACAAAGTTTCATACAAACTTTCATCCCTTATTTTATCCCCTTGGGGATAAAATTAATGAAAATCCTTTCTTAGTGATACCTACATCATAACATCTACCTGATGCCAAATTTCAGCCCGATCTGTCCCGTGGTTTGGGCTGTGCGTTTTAAGATCACTATGGCAGTCACCTTTGAATTATATATATAGATGGTTTCCAGGGGGAACCGCGTGGAGGTTAACATGATGCTTTGCTGCCAATGGGGTCTACAGTCCCCATTACTAACAATCCCTTTCCCCCTTAATTATAGTCTGTTGTATTTATTGTTATATATCTCGGAGACTAAATTGACAGGTGGAAATGTCTAGTTATCATATAATGTTACCACTTGTGGAGTAGTGCTGTACCTGCGATGTTCATTTGTAGAATCTTATTTTTTTATTTCGACAATTAGTTTTAAAGCTTTATATGTAGTTTCCACAACATTTTTACAATATTTACGTACGTATACTAGTGTTTACATTACTGTCCTTGTATTAATGTTCCTTTTTTATTTTTTTTTTCACGTAAGGAAAATCCATCATGGAGAACCATTTCCTTAGGGAAGAATGGATGTATTAATGTACCTATCCTAAATAAAGGAAACCCAATCGCGATATATTTTTCGACTCAAAAAGGGATGTTGGTTTATTTATCTATAAACTAATTTATAATAGAAAATAATGAATAGATTCTCATTAATAAGACATATATAATATATATGTCATTAGTAAGACATTATGTTAATTAAACTTCAAACATTTTTTCAATATTTACACGTATACTAGTGTTTCCATTACTGTCCTTGTATTAATGTATATATATATACCAAAGTAATGGTAAACCCCGATCTGTCGATTTATTTTTATAGACTCAAAAAGGGATGTTGGTTTATTTATCTATAAACTAATTTAGGAAATAATGAATAGGTTATCATTAATAAGGCATTATATAAATATATATGTCATTAGTAAGACATTATATTAATTAAACTTCAAACAAATTAAAAGCTATCCATCAATTAATGATCCTGATTACATAAAGGACTTAGCTGCCACTTCAAGTTTAGTGATCAATAGATTGTCACGAGAGACACTAGTGGTAAGAAGTTACATGTAAATATATATATACACAAACAAATATGTATATGTTATAATATCGCCGTGTCTGTCTGTAGATGGAAATAGGTGAGACGACTTTGTATATAGTCTAACTTACTTACATCAAGACAAATTTTAAAAGTTTTTGTCTGTCTGTCTGTTTATTATAGAAATTTAATTTATTTTAATAAAAAATAGTTAAATTCCACGCTTACTAAGTTGCAGTTCAAGAGGAAGGTTTATATGTATGTAACATTTAGTTATATACATATAAATCTTTCACTCGAATCACTCTATCTATTGCTGAAAACAGCACTAAAACCTGTTGCATAATTTAAAAGATCTAAGCGTATAGACAGCAGCTGCAATTTTTTTACACTATTGTAATTATATAGACATAAACCTTCCTCTTGAACTGCAACTTAGTACGCGTGGAATTTATCATTTTTTTTTGTTAGTAAAATAAATCTAATTTCTATAAGGGGCCGTTCAAGTATTACGTATGCAGATTTTTTACAATTACTAGCTACTCGCCCGGCTTCGCACGGGTATACATGTATTATATATACAAACCATCATCTTGAATCACTCTTATCTATAAAAATAAACCGCTTCAAAATCCGTTGCGTAGTTTTAAAGATCTAAGCGTACAAACACCATCGGGTACTTTGTATTGTATTATGTATATATTTAATGGTTCCAGGTGGTTATAAACTGCGGTATAGTCCGCGGTCTCAAGTACAACCAGGCGACCGCCACGTTCCACCAGTGGAGGGACGCGCGCCACGTGTACGGACTCAACTTCTCATGTCGCGAGGATGCGGACAGCTTCGCGAGAGCCATGATGCACACGTTAGAGGTAAGATTATACTCATACATACATACATATAAACACTCATACATTCATACTTCGGTGAAATCTGCAGTCGATGTCGTTTTTGAAAAAAGACCATGCTTTGCCTGGTCGCGGTGTACTACGAACTGCTCGAGCTCTGGCCAGACCGTCGACCATTTGTATCAATGACTATGATTGTTTTGACCGCAGCTCTGCGATTAATTTATATAAAAAAAAAATCTTGCTACACGACAACGCCCCGGCTCACAGGATTTATGCGACAAAAGTTGTTCGGCTAGGAGATTCTACCCACAACACAAGACCTTGCTCCATCCGACTATCACATTTTCGCATCAATGGGCCACGCATTGTCTGAGCACCGCTTCGCGTCAAAATGGGTCGTTAATTCGTTGCCCGAGAGGTGGGAGGCTTGTGTGGCTAACGAAGGAAAATATTTCGAATAAAATCGCCCCTATACAATAATTTTTTTCAAAAATCAGTCCGGTTTCATATTTATACACCTAGTACATAGTACTTAAAACTAAATGTAATAAAAAAAACGTCTGTAGTCTCTTTATAGATCACGGTTTTTATTATTATGTTTACAATTTTATTATGTTTATGATTCCCGACAAAGTAATTACATATGACCTAAAATTATCTGGGAATGTTAATTTAATTAATTGATACCCTCAATTACTTAATTACTTTGTTTACAAGCACACAATATCTTGTTATTAATGTCACATCGTGTCAACTGTATTAAATATAATTATAGTTATATAATTAAATTAAGTCATTGCTGTCTTTATATGTATATATATATAATGATATTTTCAGGGTTTCTTTATAAAATAAACTAAAATTTGTTTCTCTGTAAACAAGAAATGTTTTATTTAATTTTAAAACGCTACAATTATTAACACGGAAATAATGAATCACACATATAACTCACCTGTAAACAAAGAAACGACATTTAAAGTTTATTACAGATTCATTTTTAATTAATTTATTCGAAAACGGTATGATCTGATAAGTGAATGTTTTATATTTAACAGATCTTAGCAAACAAACCTAGCAACAATTCTGCGCCACCGCCTCCCCAGGCACCGAATCCGCCGGGCCCGTACAACGGGCACAATAACGTTCACAACTACGACGAGGATATGGGATACAGGTAATTTTACTGATTTAATAATTTATATAGTATCTAAATATGTAATCCAAGCACGTATATGTGTATATATATATATTTTATTTATTTATATGTCGTATGTAAATATGTATGTCTAATAATATGTATTATTTTAAAGTTACTACGTAAATGTTTATGAACTATAATGCGCCGCTTACTAACTTCTCAGTTTACCTTATGGTTGACTGGTACAGAACGCCTTTAGGGGTTAAGTTCGCCATATGTATAATTATATATTGTATTTGTGCATTAAAATTTAAATAAATAATAATTATAATAAAGTTTAAAAGAACCAGCAAAAACTGAGAAAATGAGACAATAAAACACAGAACTACAGAAATCCTCAGTATTTGATACGTGCTTAATAGTTTAGAAATTTTTCAACAGTCCTTTAAATAAAAAAACCCACGGGAGAGGACTTACGGAGCGGCTGAAGGCCAGCTCCCGCCCGAGGGATACGACTTTAGGCTGAGAGCACTGCTAAGGGTTCGAACCTCGGCTCAGGCTGTCGTAATCCTCAGTATTAGCTGAATAGTTAGGAAATTTTTGAACAGTCCTTTAAATAAAAAACTTACGGAGCGGCTGAAGGCCAGCTACCCTCTTACGGATACGATTTTAGTCTAAGAGCACCCCTAAGGGTTCGAAACTCGGCTCAGGCTGTCGTAATTACGATATTTGAAGTGGATGGGAAGACCTAAGACTTTTTTTTTATATTATACTTTCCTAACTTGTAATTTATCTTACGCATCGCGTTCTTTAAGTTCTATCCACTGATAATAAAGTAACAGCAAGTACGTAGTATTTTTTTTTATATTACAATCGTGGCAAGGTAGTATACGGTCGGACGGTAAATGGTTACCATAGCCTATGGACGCTTGAAACACCCGAGGCTTCACGTGCGCGTAGTTGACCCTTAAGAAACCTTAATATACCCTTCTTGAAAAACCTCATACTGTAGTCTCTAGAGCTAAAATCTTGACAGGTATCATATGCCTGAAAGAAATATTTCAGTCTCTATCCATCCCGTCTAATATTACAATGGTGATGATATTCTTTGGTAGAACGATGACGCGGGAGGACGCCGCGATGCTGCAACAGCCACAGTACCACGCGCCACACAATCAGCAACCACAGTATCAGCATCACGCGCCCCCCAGCCAATATCACGCGCCGCATCATCACCACCAGGTATGTTTTTATATATCATCATTACATCACCATCATCACCATCACCATCATCACCATCATCATCATCATCATCACCATCATCACCATCACCATCATCACCAACACTATCATCATTATCGTTATTTCATATGTCTAATCATCATTGGATATATCCCTTTCCCAAATCCTTCCATGATGTGCGATCTTCCACCTTCCGCATCTATCCACACTGGGAGCCTTAGTTATGTGTGTATTTACAAAAAAATGTATATAAGTAATTACATCAGCTATTTGAGTACTTATAACACAGGCTCAGCTTAGCTTAGCACTAGATGGCGCTGTATGAATTGTCCTTTATTATAATTTAGGTGACTTACTGTGAATAATTTGGTACAATTTACAAGGCAGACATTTCTATCCTTATAAGCGCACCTCAATAAAAAAGTATTTATTATCTTGTATTTATATAATTGTAATATTATATTATTATACAATATATAAAGTATGTATGTATGTACGGTAAACTTCTTTTCAATCTTGATAAGATAAATAGACATACTTCCACATTTATAATGTTTGTAGGCTACTAATTCGATTTGATTTTGAATGTGCTATATTGTGTGTGTTACTATAGGCGCCGCAGCCAACTCCGCCCGCGCCACCGCCGCACGGAGCCGGACACACGCTTCCGCACGCGCACGCGGGTCATCAGCCGCATCCGCCGCCCACCCACCACCGTACCAACAGGTAACGCCAACTGTTATTATATTTTTATTACACGAATTGTTTCATTAGGACATGTTATCAGCCTGTTAACTGGGAAATTCCCTTTTTAATTATGCAAAATATAATTGGCAGGAATTGTTTCATGGACGTGTCATCACGCCCAGAGAATTTAATTGTACCCGATATCGTTCATTCATTTTGATGGATACTCATAAAAATGTATTCCTAAATAAAAATGATAAAAGAGATTGTTATTTAGCGATAAAGCTGTTCATTTTTTTTGTGAGAGGAACAATTAAAATTTTTTATTTCATTACAAGTTTACAACATTGTTACATGTTTTTTTTATCACACTTGATATTTATCATTATACTTCGGCCAATAAACATAATATAAATTATAGCCGATGTATTATTTTCATGTATAAGCTATATTATTGTAAAGTTTAATCATAATTCGTTGAGTAATTTTTGCCTGAAAGAGTAACAAACATCCATCCATTCAACTGCTATATTAGTCCATACTCTCAAGCTTTCGCGTTTATAATATTAGTAAGATGAAATGATTAATGTAGTGAAGGATATGTAACATAGTGATGTGTGTGCAGCGCGCCGATGCCGCCCAACATGTCGCTGTCTGCGGCGGGGCCCCCGGGCGCCCCGGGAGCGCCGGGCCCCGCGGGCCCCGCGGGCCCCGCCGCCCCCGCGCCGCCGCCCGTGCCCCCGCACCAGAACCTGCCGCCCGCCGCGCCCACCAACGTCAGTATACCTACCTCACACTCATCACTACCTCACACCCGCTACATTTTCCGAGTCCTTTTTTTTTATTAAAATAAATAAAAGTAGCCCAAGTTACTCCTTATAACGTAGCTAACGAGACGAACGAACTAGAAATACAGGGATAACTCAGACAAATATTTTTGAATTTATTTTTTTAATCTAAGTACGTATATAGTTGTAGTTTCATATGCGTTTAATAAAATTTGTTGATCGCCATTTATTAGTACTGTACGAACATTAACAATAGAAGCATATATCTATTGAAGAGTATCTCTTATTTGGTTAATTAATTAATTAACAAATGATGATGTATTAAATTTTTTTTACAATAATGATTATTATTCTCTTTAAGCGCATATATAAATGAAAGCTTAACAGCTTATCATGCAATCGGACTATTTTGCTTTATATCTATTTTACAATTTTTTAATATGTGTACTTGTTTATTCTTTATCTTAACCACAGTCGTATAACGTAATAGATGAAACTAATGTATGACTGACTGACTTCATTTTTTTTTCAAATCTAATAATATAAATTGTCTAGGGTCCAATGCCACCGGCGACACCGCCGGCCGCTCCTCAACCACCGCCAATGATGGTGAGTTATTAACTATATACTACCTTTTTGTGTTTTTTTAACATGTCACAATGTTTGTGACGATTCGATGAAGTGTGACATTATGTGACAATTGGTTGGAAGTTTTTTTAACAAATATTTATACTAGGTATATGATATACGTGTAACCATTACACCACTTAAAGAACCATCTAAAAATGACGTCACAATTTCGATGAAGTGTGACATTGTGTGACAACCGGTTGGAGGAGCAATAATTATAATGTCACCTTTACAAATTATATATTTTCTTAATTGCAATATTTTTTGCATAGTATAGGACGTTATTTTTTTATGATTTGCATATCGTGACAATCAGATGGCAACTGCGACTCCGCCCGCGCCGCCCCCGCCGCCGCCCCCGTCGACGGGTGGTGCCGCGGCCACGTGCTCGCCGCCGCCGCCGCCCCCGCCGCCCGCGCCCCCCGCACCCGACCCCGCCGGGCTCGCCGCGCAGCTGCAGCAGGCCCGCCTCAAGCGGACCAACACCGCGCCCAGGGTACGTGTGCAGCCTCCCCCCCGCCCCCCGCCCCCCGCCCCCACCCCGCCGGGCTCGCCGCGCAGCTGCACCAGGCCCCCCACCCCCGGACCAACCCCTCGCCCTCGGTCCGTTCTCAGGCGCCCCCCCCGCCCCCCGCCCCCACCCCGCCGGGCTATTTTTTTATTTTGATTTTATAATCTTTTTACAGCAAGCGGACCAACACCGCGCCCAGGGTACGTGTGCCGCCTCCGCCCCGCCCCCGCCCCCACCCCGCCGGGCTCGCCGCGCAGCTGCAGCAGGCCCGCCTCAAGCGGACCAACACCGCGCCCAGGGTACGTGTGCAGCCTCCCCCCCGCCCCCCGCCCCCACCCCGCCGGGCTCGCCGCGCAGCTGCAGCAGGCCCGCCTCAAGCGGACCAACACCGCGCCCAGGGTACGTGTGCAGCCTCCCCCCGCCCCCCGCCCCCACCCCGCCGGGCTCGCCGCGCAGCTGCAGCAGGCCCGCCTCAAGCGGACCAACACCGCGCCCAGGGTACGTGTGCAGCCTCCCCCCCGCCCCCCGCCCCCCGCCCCCACCCCGCCGGGCTCGCCGCGCAGCTGCAGCAGGCCCGCCTCAAGCGGACCAACACCGCGCCCAGGGTACGGTTGAGGCTCGCCCCCCCGCCCCGCCCCCACCCCGCCGGGCTCGCCGCGCAGCTGCAGCTGAGCCCGCCTCACGCGGACCAACACCGCGCCCAGGGTACGTGTGCAGCCTCCCCCCCGCCCCCCGCCCCCCGACCCCACCCCGCCGGGCTCGCCGCGCAGCTGCAGCCGGCCCGCCTCAAGCCGACCAACACCGCGCCCAGGGTACGTGTGCAGCCTCCCCCCGCCCCCCGCCCCCGCCCCCACCCCGCCGATGGAAGATTCATTTCATTATTTTGTATATATTAACACCGCGCCCAGGGTACGTGTGCAGCCTCCCCCCCGCCCCCCGCCCCCACCCCGCCGGGCTCGCCGCGCAGCTGCAGCAGGCCCGCCTCAAGCGGACCAACACCGCGCCCAGGGTACGTGTGCAGCCTAGCCCCCCGCCCCCACCCCGCCGGGCTTAGCCGCGCAGCTATAATCTAGCCTCAAGCGGACCAACACCGCGCCCAGGGTACGTGTGCAGCCTCCCCCCCGCCCCCCGCCCCCACCCCGCCGGGCTCGCCGCGCAGCTGCAGCAGGCCCGCCTCAAGCGGACCAACACCGCGCCCAGGATACGTGTCCGCGTCGAAGGACCTTCCCCGGGAAATGTCACCGGCTCAAAGAACCAGAATTATAATATGGTCTGAAAATATTATTGTCCTGATTTATATGTATTCAACTCACTGAGGATACTAATTATACATTCGGCTAAGAACTCCTACATAAATAAATGATTTTTATTTTGATTTTATAATCTTTTTACAGCAAACGGTAGTGACAGGCGAAGCGGCGTCTCCACCCGGTGGGGCCGAGCACTCAGGTTCCTCTTCATCATCAGGCGGCAGCGCAGGAGGCGGAGGACGTGCAGGCACACTGCACTGCATGATGAACGAGATGGCGCGGACCCTCGCCCGCCGTCGAGCTCACTTAGACCGGGCAGAGGTATGTACTACCACCATCTTTACTTATTGTCTGTTTTTAAATTTCGGCACGGGAATTTGAATTACCTATATAATTATTCTGTATATTCTGGGTAACTTAAATAATATAGAGTGGACTGTTGTATAAAATGTATAATTAGAAAACTGTTACAAAATAATTATTTAGTTTAAAAATTAAATCATTGAGAAACGTTAGGTAAGACAGGAAGATTAAATTAGGTCGCCGTTGCCGTGGCTTAGGCAGTAGTAATTGTATCAATGGTTAGGAGGGCCAATTCACAAGTTACGTTACACGGAACGTGATTCTGACATTTTCGATGAAGTGTGACATTGTGTGACAAAGAATGGAATAAATTATGAGTTTCGTTACATTTTAAATTTCGTGTACGTGTACGTGTACGTGTCCCGGCAGGAGTCGTCGGCGGACAGCTCCGCGCCGCACACCCCGCCGCGCGCCGAGCGGGCCGCCACCCTGCCGCACAGACTCCCCGCCTGCAACGGAGCCGCCGGTAACGAGCCCACACCACACACCACACACCACACACCACACACCACACACCACACACCGACCACACCCCGCCGCGCGCCGAGCGGGCCGCCACCCTGCCGCACAGACTCCCCGCCTGCAACGGAGCCGCCGGTAACGAGCCCACACCACACACCACACACCACACACCACACACCACACACCACACACCGACCACACCCCGCCGCGCGCCGAGCGGGCCGCCACCCTGCCGCACAGACTCCCCGCCTGCAACGGAGCCGCCGGTAACGAGCCCACACCACACACCACACACCACACACCACACACCACACACCACACACCGACCACACCCCGCCGCGCGCCGAGCGGGCCGCCACCCTGCCGCACAGACTCCCCGCCTGCAACGGAGCCGCCGGTAACGAGCCCACACCACACACCACACACCACACACCACACACCACACACCACACACCCGACCACACCCCGCCGCGCGCCGAGCGGGCCGCCACCCTGCCGCACAGACTCCCCGCCTGCAACGGAGCCGCCGGTAACGAGCCCACACCACACACCACACACCACACACCACACACCACACACCACACACCGACCACACCCCGCCGCGCGCCGAGCGGGCCGCCACCCTGCCGCACAGACTCCCCGCCTGCAACGGAGCCGCCGGTAACGAGCCCACACCACACACCACACACCACACACCACACACCACACACCACACACCGACCACACCCCGCCGCGCGCCGCGCGGGCCGCCACCCTGCCGCACAGACTCCCCGCCTGCAACGGAGCCGCCGGTAACGAGCCCACACCACACACCACACACCACACACCACACACCACACACCACACACCGACCACACCCCGCCGCGCGCCGAGCGGGCCGCCACCCTGCCGCACAGACTCCCCGCCTGCAACGGAGCCGCCGGTAACGAGCCCACACCACACACCACACACCACACACCACACACCACACACCACACACCGACCACACCCCGCCGCGCGCCGAGCGGGCCGCCACCCTGCCGCACAGACTCCCCGCCTGCAACGGAGCCGCCGGTAACGAGCCCACACCACACACCACACACCACACACCACACACCACACACCACACACCGACCACACCCCGCCGCGCGCCGAGCGGGCCGCCACCCTGCCGCACAGACTCCCCGCCTGCAACGGAGCCGCCGGTAACGAGCCCACACCACACACCACACACCACACACCACACACCACACACCACACACCGACCACACCCCGCCGCGCGCCGAGCGGGCCGCCACCCTGCCGCACAGACTCCCCGCCTGCAACGGAGCCGCCGGTAACGAGCCCACACCACACACCACACACCACACACCACACACCACACACCACACACCGACCACACCCCGCCGCGCGCCGAGCGGGCCGCCACCCTGCCGCACAGACTCCCCGCCTGCAACGGAGCCGCCGGTAACGAGCCCACACCACACACCACACACCACACACCACACACACACCACACACCACACACCGACCACACCCCGCCGCGCGCCGAGCGGGCCGCCACCCTGCCGCACAGACTCCCCGCCTGCAACGGAGCCGCCGGTAACGAGCCCACACCACACACCACACACCACACACACACCACACACCACACACCACACACCGACCACACCCCGCCGCGCGCCGAGCGGGCCGCCACCCCACACCGCACAGACTCCCCGCCTGCAACGGAGCCGCCGGTAACGAGCCCACACCACACACCACACACCACACACCACACACCACACACCACACACCGACCACACCCCGCCGCGCGCCGAGCGGGCCGCCACCCTGCCGCACAGACTCCCCGCCTGCAACGGAGCCGCCGGTAACGAGCCCACACCACACACCACACACCACACACCACACACCACACACCACACACCGACCACACCCCGCCGCGCGCCGAGCGGGCCGCCACCCTGCCGCACAGACTCCCCGCCTGCAACGGAGCCGCCGGTAACGAGCCCACACCACACACCACACACCACACACCACACACCACACACCACACACCACACACCGACCACACCCCGCCGCCCGCCGAGCGGGCCGCCACCCTGCCGCACAGACTCCCCGCCTGCAACGGAGCCGCCGGTAACGAGCCCACACCACACACCACACACCACACACCACACACCACACACCACACACCGACCACACCCCGCCGCGCGCCGAGCGGGCCGCCACCCTGCCGCACAGACTCCCCGCCTGCAACGGAGCCGCCGGTAACGAGCCCACACCACACACCACACACCACACACCACACACCACACACCACACACCACACACCGACCACACCCCGCCGCGCGCCGAGCGGGCCGCCACCCTGCCGCACAGACTCCCCGCCTGCAACGGAGCCGCCGGTAACGAGCCCACACCACCACACCCACACACCACACACCACACACCACACACCACACACCGACCACACCCCGCCGCGCGCCGAGCGGGCCGCCACCCTGCCGCACAGACTCCCCGCCTGCAACGGAGCCGCCGGTAACGAGCCCACACCACACACCACACACCACACACCACACACCACACACCACACACCACACACCACACACCGACCACACCCCGCCGCGCGCCGAGCGGGCCGCCACCCTGCCGCACAGACTCCCCGCCTGCAACGGAGCCGCCGGTAACGAGCCCACACCACACACCACACACCCACACACCGACCACACCACACACCGACCACACACCAAACCGACCACACACCTCACACGCACCGAGCACACACCGACCACACCGACCACACACCGACCACACCGAGCACACACCGACCACACACCGACCACACCGAGCACACACCGACCACACACCGATCACACACCGAGCACACACCGAGCACACACCGACCACACGCCGAGCTCTCTCTCTCTCGGCCTTTGTCTAGTCTAGTCCCTCGCCAGTGACGTATGTCCCGGGTCCAGTCTTTTATTTAAATTTTCTTTAAGTCGTTATTGATAACGGACGGCCGAGGTAGTAGGGGTCTATTTCTTCACTAATTTATATAAATCAGATTTAATGTAAATAGTCGAGAATGCAATTGTTCGTAGCTGCGAGGAATGAACCCGCGACCGTCGGAGTGTACTAAACTGCTGGACCATATAGGCCGTAAATGGATTTAATTAAACAAAAAAATGTTATGTTTGCAGTTAACTCAGAGTTGCCCGTGCAACAACAGCCACAGTCACCGCGTTCGGTCCGCAAGAGGTTCGGTTCCGCGAGCGAGGAGACTATACTCAAGGTATATTTTATATGTATATATGGCTTTACTATTATTATCCAAAATAAAATAGAATAGACTTTATTGACTCGTACACAACAATAATGATATAAAAATAAAGCTTACACATATAAAACAGAATCAATGTGGACTACGACTCGGCATAATGCTGAAAACATAGTTTAAAAACTGATTTTAAGTTGTCCATATGCTATATGCAAATAGGATATTTTAGTCATAACATATCGGCACGTGTTATTCTAATGTATAAGCTATACTACTGTAAAGTGTCATCAAAATCCGTCCAGTATTCTTTGCATGAAAGAGTAACGAAGATACCTCGATGCTAACAAACTTTCGCGTTTAAAACATTATTTAAGTCAGCAATTACTTTTTTTATAGCAAGTCAATGGTGGTGGTAATGATGGTGGCTGCGTGTCGGCCGCAGAATGGGACGCGTTCAAACAGGAGATGCTTCGAGAGATGCGCCAGCAGCTCAATCAGGCCAAGAAAGAGATTATAGACGGTAAGAGATAACTACATTCGTACTATGTCGGAGTAATTTGCTAACGGTAGAATAGACAATTCTATATTCAAACAAACTTTCATTTAAGTACCTTACCTTTGAATGGTCACTAATTGATTTTTATTTCTGCTCATTCGGAAAGAGGTCTGCCTACGCATCTATGTTCAACTTCAATTAATCAGACAATAGCGGGTAAACTACGAATGGATGAGAGGTTGTGATCAAATCGTTAAGCAGATTCGACATCATATAGTTTATTATTTCACAATTTTATACATTTTAATGTTGTAGTTTTATATACATTTTTCTAATCTTTGTAATATAAAATTCATTGAAGAGCACCCAATATTACCGTGGAACACCTGACCAAAATAAACATCGCAAAACGTATAAACTACCAACTATCACGAATTCATTTCTATTTCTATTTCTATTTCAAAAGTTAGTTAGTAATTATATTATTTCTATTTCAGCAATGAAGGCAGAGTTTGCGCGCAGATAAAATTAAAGCGCGTCACCCGAGTGAAACTAGTCCATCGCGCCGGATACCGGTGAACAATTATTTTAAATATTGGGGGTCACCGCGACCCCAACGTCTTAAATACTGGGGTACACACGACCCCCAATGTAACGAACGTTAACTCGATAATATACACGGGGTCAAATGGACCATAATTTTAATATAAATTAATATATTCAACGGCATGAGTATGACATCATATATAACGGGGGTTGTTACCCCATTTGGGCAGACAATGTATAGAGGTCTATCTATTTTACTTTTTAGTATAATTTATTATTAATTTATAATCATAAAATGCTTTTGGTCTAATAAAAACCCCCATATTCCATGAGTGATAGAAAACTATTAAAATAGTTACCACTGTTCCATAGAGATAAGTGGGACTCATTGAACAGACAACCTCGCCTATTATAATTAATATAACTGTATTATTATAATTATTGACATTTATAAAAAATACTAAACTAGCTCCAAAGCAATATCACTCTTAAGTTGCGATAACTTTAGAGTGATATTCCATTGGTTGTTTGATTACGTTATTTTGATATTATTGACATTTAAGCGTACCTAATTATTTATTAAATGTAATTAAAATGATGTTCTATGTCATTATTGCAGTAATTAAATTAGCCACTTTTTAACAATGGCTTATTTATTTAGGAGCTCCGAATATAATTCTAATGTAAAATATGCTTACAATTATAGAAATTTTAGATGATTTTTTTCCTAAATTGATAGATTTATGCGAATGCCAGCAAAAATTGTGAAACATTCAAAGCAAATGTATTACGAGTCATCTAAGTACATATTTCATTTTTGATCAACCACATATGTAAAGATTAAAGCGTTGATAAAGCTAAATGATTCTTATATACGTCTACCGGATGCGATCTCTTTTTCTCAACTATGAGACGTTCACAATTAAAGTATTCTAAATTTGCACAAAAAAAAACATAGCTTGAAAATAATATATTTACTATATTCGATTAATTTGTAGATATCTATAGTTATACCACTCTATATTTGTTCTTATTAAATATTTTTTTATTAAATAAACGAAATTTATAAATCAATTTTGGCATAACCGCGCTAATAAAACAATATCTATATCTTGTCTATTGCCATTTTTGCATCATATAAGAAGTACTAAAAACAGGTGCCGTAAGGCGTTAAGTCCGCCATATGTACTTTTACCTTGGTATTTTGTGCTTTGAATAAAAATAAATAAACTTTAGAATAACTGACAATTAACATTAATGTATCTAACAATACCGTAATTGAACCCTAAGACACTCTTGCGTAAATAAAACAGTAACTTATAATCATTAAAGGTATAAAACTAACTAAATGCGGTAATTTTATTGCTAGTAGTTTATGCGTAAGTTTTGTAATTGTATTTATTGAATTTATAATTTAATTTTGCCTCTTTAAAGGATCAAGACTGTATATTATTGAACAAAATCGCCTAACTTCTTTCTTTTTATAAAACTTTATGTAATTTTCAGACCTCTGTAAATATAGTGATTTGTATGCAACGGATAGGATGTAGATCACAGGTATATTAATGTATCCAATAGATCGTTAACACAAGTCTAGAATTATTAAATAATCAACCCTATTACTATACTGTATTACGGTATAAAATTATTTGTATTGAAATTATCGTTATTATTAAAGTTATTGAAATAAAAAAAAATCCATGAATGATTATTATTTTGAACAATGAGAAATGTGTATAATATTATTTATTCTACGGATAAGAAAATCATTGGTCAATATAGCAATCATAGATGGAGTTATGGTAACATTCAATAACCTTTACAATTGTAATTAAAGTATGATCGTTAAAAGAAATTCGGGAATATACGGTTCTAGAAATTTCTATAAGGGCCCAGTCATAAATTACGTTACACGGAAAGTGATTGTGACATTTTCGATAAAGTGTGACATGTTCGATGAAGTGTGACAAAGTGTTACAAATGTTGGTATGTTTGCAAAAACGTTTGATGTCACACTATCCCTAGTGCACAAGGCAAGGTGCTGTGACAAGCGTGATGAGGGAGGGTCATAATAATTAAAATCATGACGTCATTTATGAATGGGATCCCATACATAGAGTTCAAATTAAATAATTTAACACTAAGATACTTGTTCACCAGTATTATTAGCTCGGTACATTGTGATCAAGACGTAATAAACTAAGTTGCCGCTGTGGGCTCCGACAACGATGTGGCGACATAATATAAGTGTATCAGTGTTGCCATCTATAATCGGTCTATATGATAGTACGTTTATTCACTGATATGATGGATGCAATAAAATATTTATAATGTTTTAGTTTATTACAATTTTCAGTGAAAATGATCCGAGAATATTAGAACTTAAACGATATGTTGCATAATATTTAAAATGTTCTTATTTCTACATCAAGTAGTCGGCAAAGTCATTATTATAAAGTGCCAAATGGTTATGTGTTTATACACTCAAAGTTCCTTGTATTGCCTATTTGAAAAATTATAAAAGTACTTTTAGTTAAGTTTGTTTTGTCATCATATCAGTGCAAACGCGATCTAATATTACGGTAAGAGCTGCAAGGAATACTGTTGCGACATTCAGTTGCGACGCATTTCCGCGCATTATCGATTACGATTGACCGAAATCGATTTAAAACCTAGATTTAGCGCACGAATATCGAAGCATAAAGAAAGTTGTGTTTTTTTAATTTTATACTTAAAAAAGTATTTATTCGGAAACGTATGTACGTAGTGGATAAGGATTCGGATATTTTACATCAGATCAATATTTACTATTGGGGTTAGACTGATCACTGATGGTGAATGTTTTATTAAATAGCATAAAATTTATTTTAAATTAATTCTTTACATTTTATTTAATACTCAACTAATAGTATTATACATATTTGAGTAACCGAATTAACTTTAGTTAAATCGTAAATTAAATTACCTATAAATTTGCTCGATTAATATCGATTGGTACATATAATTTAATTTACAATGGAGTGATTCGTATTTTTTTTTTTCAATTATAAAACATCGAGATAAATTAGGCGAATATGTAGATAATGTTATGGCAAACTAGGTTTTTTTTTTTAATTTAAAACACCAATAGTAAATAATGTGGCATTAAAAAATTATATATATGTGTAATATTCATAGCGTCAAGTTATATAACTAGTATGTAACTCGATATTTATTAAACTGTTACGCGTATTTTGTACGCGACAGTATAATATAAGTCTTAACTGTTACGGGATATATTTAAATTGGAAACTATTTAAATGCAACCAAAATTAATGATAAATCAGACATTTATTGAAAATTAAATCTATTATTTTTTAATAATTTCAATTTGTATACAAACTGCCATAATATGTTTAGTTTTAACAATCAAAAAGTACTGGCTTGAAACATGATTATGTGTTCCATTTTCAAATTTTTTCATTTGATTATTCAAATATGAATATCGAATGAAGGACTTATGGCGCCATTATTTAATTTAAAAAATATATCTGTCCCTAACATAACAAAGTGGTATAATTTGATAGTTCTTATCCAATTTAATTATGTATCGTATATACTGATAATATACTTTGTAATTGAGTATATGTAATATTTTATGCGATGTATATAAAATCTTTTGCCGGGTAAAATCGAATTATGGGCACCCTACCTTTCCATACATGTCTTCCATAAAAATAAGTAGTTGAAAAGTCATCTCAATATACGTGGCAATTTTTTTATTCTGGCAACAATGATTCATTGACAGGTCTACTTTTGGTGGGAAATTATTAATTTGAATTTAGAAGTTAATTATTATCATCACTCATCAAATATTTATGGCAGTATAAAATTATTATCTTTGTTTTTTTAATTTTAAAGATGTATTATTAAGTATATTATATTATTGAAATCTGTAAATATAATCGTGCATTACATTCCAATATAAATTGGACCGATTCAATGTCTGAACAAATAACATATCTATTTTTGGTATATGCCAAGATTACGTATATTTCCCACACCTTTGTTATTACTATATTCGTTTATCAAATATTAGTAAATTAAAAAAATATATATAAATGCCTTTTGGAAAAAAAATACGATCCAAAGAACAATATTCCATATTATATTACATTGTCCATTTCATTAAAAATGTAAATACAGGATATTGTAAAATTTACTATTTATGTAATGTGGAAATGTTAATTTTATAAATAATAATTTAATTTAATTAATTTATGTTTGAAAAAAAAAAGTATTAAGTTAATATATATAACATTAAAAACTACGACCTTAACTCCCGTATCCAAGCTACAAGTTTAAAAACATCAAAATATACCATAAACATTTTTAACATATGTTACTAGGGTGTCCTTTGCACTTAGCAGAATACATAGGCCAAACTAGACGTAAGTGCTTCAGAATTCGCGGACACTCAAACGCTTTCAATACATATTTACCCGGCAATGGATATATCAATATATAATACGAAATGTATCACGTTATTATAAAAAAGTACATATATATATATATATATCGGTACATATGTTTGTTTTCCAAATTACACGAGTTTTGGCTTTAAATCTTAAAATTCGCGCCTGGATTTTTAGTTATAAGACGACGACTGATCGAGCATTCCATTCGAACATGCCTGATTTATATATGCTTATAGCAGAGTTAATTTTTTTATTGTATACATAATTCTTCCCTCAGAATGATATCTTATCTCATACCAATAGTGTTGAAATTACGATGGCCCGAACCGAGGTTCATACTTCAACTCATTGTGGTTATATGTAATAACTAAAATATATATATTAAAAAGAGCCCCTTTAGGCAAGGTTCCGAAGATACTGGCTGGCAGCGTTCCCTCGGAATATATTAATTCTGCTATAAATGATATGTGGTCTAGGATCTGTTCGAGATTGGCCTACACACAGTAATTGTACAAAATGTCGCCATTTTACAATAGATTTTGTACTCGTCACAGTTTTTTTAAAACATTTTTCATACAAAGTCCTCTTTTGGGATGCCACCGATTTTAAAAACTGCTTTTTTGTTTTTTTTTTATATATTATAAAAAAGAAAAAAGAAAACTGGTGCTCAAAGACACGTATTAATATTTCCATTTTCTTTTTCTATTATCGACTGACTGTGCATTTTTTTTATAATGTTTTTATGCGTGATTGAACAATGGCCGATTCCTTAGTATTCAGATTTAAGAAGTTGTATCTTATACATTCGCTAGAAAGTGATTAACACTTAGTGATATTTATTATAACTATTGTAATATTTAAGGGATATACTAGTATTGATAATAATAAAAAATCATTTTAATATAATAGAGAACTAACCAATTTTTAGTTGGAATTTTAATTTTATTGAACCATATTTTTATAACTGTATACGAGATTTTAATGAAGTTACCCTGTTTTATTGTACAGCGGATGAAATCGAAACAATTGGCGCGAAAGTAGAAAATATTGTAAGGTTATTAAACTCTCGTACATAGTCATAAACGTATTACTATAAAAATGAAGATAAGTTTTAAAAATTTATTATACTATTATGTATTGGTCTCAGTTATGTCAAAGAACGTATTTATTCAATTTAGAAAAATGTATTTTTTTTTTGGTGCCGAATATGTAATAGCTTTTGCTTAGTCTGTGTATTTTTTTACACTTGTGTATTTTTTTTTATTAGTAAAAATGAGTGATAATGTAAAAATAATAATTTTGTGACAAACTTGGTTAGCACTGCAGTGCGCCGCGTCCTAGTATTTTGTTTTGATGATTCTTATTTTGTTAGTTCAGTTTTTGATGGATATTGTATGGGTTCCGTTATTTTT